CAAAAATTTGGAAAAAAAAAGACTTTAGATAACAGTAAATTTGAACGGCCATTTTGTTTTTCTTAACTTTAACTGTAGTATACCGCGCTAGGGAAATCAAGCCGCTGCCTTTCTGCGTTTACAAAATTTTAAAAATGTCTATGGTTTCATTGCAACAAATAGTTAAAAAAGGCCATTTTTAGGGTTTTGTGGGCGTATAATTTCTAGAGGGGGGGAGATAGGTAAAAATTTTGTTCTACGGAAATAAGTTTCTAGTAAAGATCTATGTACGTACAAAGTTTCAGCTTTAGAAGTTTTGTAATTTCAAGGGTGTAGAAGTTTTGTAAACAGACACACGGACAGATGGATGGACGGACGGACGGACGGACAGACAGAGTGAAACTAATAAGCACTTTTTTTCAAAAATTTTTTGGAAAAGTGCTAAAAAGCAAAATTAGCCCGAGAGATGGTGAAGAGTAAAAAGTGTCACTTACAGATTATGATAAATTTACACTATCAGTGTTGAAACACTAGTGCAGTGGTTTTGAAACACTAATGCAAAAAAAAAACTAGGAAAAACCATAACACAAGGACATTCGTTACGAAGTGGAGAATAAAGCAAAGCAAAAAGCAATTGCAAAAGAAAAATGAAAAAGGGGTAGGGTTTACTATGTCCACTCTGTTAATTTTGTATAAGAAAATTACCAAATCTTCTTGACAATTTTGTGTTGATAAATAACAATCATTGTGGCGTTTGGAATTATATGGGAAACCTTCAATCATAATATCAATAGCACCTTCATTTGATGCATAGACATATGAATTTGACATTTACTATTTTTAAAAAAATTGACTCAAAATCTGAAAGTGTAAATACATGTCTATATATGTTCGTATTGCGCCATTATTTCTCTGTATTGTAAACGGAACGACGAATTTAAAATACCATAAGAACAGTGTACTGTTTCAAAAATGATAATATTAATAGTACACATACAAAGAAATTGTGATATGAAATAACCGAAATTAAAAATATAAAACAAAATAATAATTTGCAAACACGTCATCAACTAGTGTCGCTCAATACGACTATTAAACAAATTAAAATTTTTGAATAACATTCGAATTCTCCGTTTTAACTTCTGTATAAAAAATGGCAAACTGCCTTACAAGCACCGTTGATTCACACAAGTCGATTAAATAGACGATTTAAGACGCTGCTTGAAAATTTGCCAAATAAAATCATTTAAACTAAGTCACATTGCTTTTCATTGTTCATCTTCGTTCGTCCTACTAGTACATGATCAAATTGTTATCGTGTATGTTTATTTTATTTTTATACCCATATGAACGAATGTTCGAAATAAATCATTTGGTCATGTCTGGGAAGTTATAAAGCACTTAAAATTCAAATTTTGTATGAGAGTGGAAGTATGGCTATTATTCCAACAGAATTTGATAAGCTACTGCAATACATAGTTGCTATATAGACGAAAAAATAATTTGAATCAAACTCTAGTAGTAGGATCATTCTAAAAAATGCTAGTAGTTAGCTTTTTGTGTTAAATGTCAGGGAGCTTTTGAAAAACATTCGTCCGAATATCACAAAGTAGACATGGTAAACTATATTTTTTCTGCTTAATTACATAAATAAATTTAATTAGATCAACTTCATAATATTTTAGCATAATATTTCATCAAACACTTCAGCAACTCAGCATTTTTCATATTACCGAATTATTGTCATTAATACTATAAATACTAGTTTGAAAATACATAGTTAGTTACAAAAGTATTGTCTCAACTCTAATTATTTTAAATAAAGAGTTGGGTCAAACCAATGGTTTGTATTGTAGCACTTTTCCCTTCAACAATTCATGAAAATACTGGTTTTAAATACAGTCTATGTATACCTACCACACTATTAAAATTATTTTTATTCATATACGAAACTATTTCTAGAATTGGATATATGTATTTAGGATGAACGATTTGTGCAGTCTTTGAAATAAAACAAAAATTAATTTAAAGAGGGCTTAACATAATGCTCAATTTTAAGAGTTAATTGCGTGAGTAAAAAAAAATAATTGTATTTTTTAATGTCACGGAATTTACCGTTAGCTTTTTGCGTTTATATGAATTTGAAAAAGCTTGCGGTTTCGGAAATATGAAGCGTCAAAAATTCAAATTTTACAAATTTCAAGAGTGGATAAGTTGAGAGGGGGTGGAGATGGAAAAAAATGTTCTTCTAACAAAATAAACTATTTATTAGTATCTAAAAGATTCTACAACCTTGAGTCTAGAAAAAAAACACGACATCAAAAATTTTAACGACATCAAAAAAACGGATTTTAGATAACGGTAAATTTGAGCGGCCATTTTGTTTTTTTTTTAGCTTAACTATAGTAGGCCACGATAGGAGAAGCAAGCCATTGCCTTTCTGCGTTTGCAAAATTTGAAAAATGTTTATGGTTTCATTGCAACAAATAGTTAAAAATGGTCATTTTTAGGGTTTTGAGGGGTATAACTTTTAGAGGGGGTGAGATAGGTAAAAATTTTGTTCTAAGGAAATAAGTTTCTAGTAAAGATCTATGCATATATAAAATTTCAGCTCTCTATCTTCAAGGGTGTAGGAGTTTTGTAAACAGACACACGGACAGACGGACGGTCGGTCGGACGGACGGACGGACGAGCGAATGAACGGACGGACGGAGTTAAACTAATAAGCACTTTTTTTCAAAAAATTTTTGAAAAAACTCCTGTATATTAAGAAAAAATTTAAATATGCCAAATTAAAACAATTTGCATATTATTCTTCAAATTTTTTTATAATTAAAAAAAAAAAAACATGAACAAAAATAACAAAAAAACAAATTTCATATTCCAAATTTTTATACAGGATTCAAAAACTACACTTTTTTAGAATAATTAGAGGTGAGTCAATCCTTTTGAGATTAGCTGTATGTACATATGTATGTACATATATAGATAGATTACATAGATAGATTACATATGTACATATGTAGATCGATTCTTGCTACAAAATCTAGTAAATTTTTATTATCGAAATGAAACTTACTGAACTATAAATTGAAACCATTTCAGTATGAAGCAACCCAACTTGTCAATTTGTTACGAATGAGGTCACAAAACTTTAATGTATATACATACATACATACTTATGTGCAAATATGAAGCCAAAAGCTCTGCCAAAGTATCTACTAAACTACATTAAAACAGAATTTCTTACTGTAACACATTCATTATTTTAGTGACAAGAAAAACGATAATAATCGTATAAACAATAATTCCTATATACTAAACCACTACATAAAACAGCTAATCGTAGTTGTGTTTGCAAGTCAAAAAAAGTTAAATTAACATCAAAAATGAGTGAATCATATTTGCTCATCAAAAACTACCAAAGCAAACGGCGGTTCAATGCTCTCACGCCACTTACTCATTTTTTGTCATTGTTTTTAATTTCTTTGATTTTTTTTGTTATTGTTTCAGAGTTTCAAACTTTACAGTTATTTTTACTTTTTGTTTTTATTTTATTCATTGAGTGTATTAATATTTTCAAGTATACTCGTATGTATGTATATGTTTGCATGTATTATTGCGTACTATATTATTATTTGTAAAAAATATTTAATTTTAATCAAATCGATAATTATTCGCACTTCGCAAATCGTAGCAAAAAAAAAATTAGCAAAATAAATTTTTTTAGAATATTCACTGTTCATTTAAGGATGACTTCCGCTAACTAATAACCTTTGAAATCAAATTAAAAACTTTTTTATAAACATGTAATATATAATGGTATAGAAATATTTTCTCATCAATGGTGGTAACATACATACATACATATGTACATGCAAAATATTTTTTTGTTTTTTTGGACTGCATTAGTTTTTGAGCTCTTCGACCCGAACTTCTTCAAATGGCAAATGTTTCCAACTCTGGTTCCATTACCTTTGGAAGTGATTACGAAAATTTGGAAATGATTGGCATAATAAAGCAGTTGAATATTGATTGTAGGATTTGTAGCAAAAACTAAAACTTTGCACCCTATAGTGAATTTAATTCGCCTAAAACGTATTTCTTAGAAACTAACTAATTTTTGGGGTTCAATGTAGGTACAATTTTTATACCCGTACGAACGTATGTTCGAAGGATATACTAAGTTTGCCTTACCGTTTGTAATGCTAAAAAATTATGGTCTGAGATATAGACTCAAGTGCATGTTTTTGTTCAGCGTGGAATTCTGAGTCGATTTAGCTTTGTCCGTCTGTCCGCCCCTCCGCCCGTTCATCCCAACGATAACTCGAAAACCAATTGAGCTAGATTCACCTAATTTTCACAAATAATTTATTATTATTAATGCCGGAATCCTATTTAAATTGACTATATCTCAAAAACTTTAAAAGCTGTCGTATTGAAATTTCACACAAGTAAATATATAAATAAGTGTTCGATAACGTGTTCGTAAAAGTTAAAAGTCGTTGGAATTGCTTTGCTCTTTCTGGTAGCACTCACACAGCTTCAAGAGTAATTTCGCCATATCTTAGAAAACATTGAAAACACAGTACTGAAATTATGCATAAATTACGAGTAATATGGTAATACGACAACTTGAATTTATAGTCCGTATATATGATACGTATATTTTTTTTTTAAAAAATAACCATATATTTTTGGAAAATTATACTACGAGTACATAACCATAACTTTTTTCTGTCAAAATTAATAAAAATGAAAATGCAACCTTCGAAATAAGGATTACTTAAACGTGAAACTCCAAAAATGAGCTGATTTAGCCTAATTATTAAAGAACAAATATTTTTAGTTTCCCCTATTCGATACTTTTAATCGGCATTAGTAAGATTCATTTGACCTATAACTAATTGAAGCTCATCCAGAACGAGATTATTAAATTAAATATGGAAAATGTCACGTGTTAAATATCAAGGATAGTATTTAAAATAAAGCTTAATCATAAATATTTTATTTTCACTTACTCATTGTTGATCCTCGTGGATACCAAAATGTTTCTACTTTCGTAAGAGTCCTTTTTATTGTAATTATTTGTATCTTTTTTATTAGCATTAACTTTGTTGCTATAGGTATTAAACAAACCCACCCTATTGCATTTTGGTATCCACGATGCTACTGTGATATAATGATTATGTTTCTCATCTTGCGTTGTAGTTTCCATATTATAATACCCTTTTGTAAAACTTTCAATATTGTCAAAATAATCGACATCTCCACTTTTCCCATTACATGAATCTTTTTTATTATTCCGACTATTTTTTGCAGCATTATTTTTGTTATCATTTTTGTTGTATTTATCATTTGACCCTGTTGTCTTTGCTGAATGATCTTCTTTCAATCCCAAACTTTTGTTACAGTTTATATAATTGCAATAATATTCTGAGTTATCGTAAATGCTATTTCCATTATCAGATGAAATTGTGAAATCCACATAGAGTGGTTCGTTCGATGGTTTTCGTGTAAATTCATCATCTTCATTTATGAGATTGTCGTCATCATCATCATTCTCATCACTATCACCATGGTGCAGATTATGACCAAAATGATTTTCAAAATCTAAATCTAAGTCATCATTATTAATATCTAAATTTAATCTATTAAAATTATGAGAATTTTCATGAACACCTGAATTGCTACAGTTGCTACGGCTGCTAATACTACCGGCTGTTCCGTTAATGGCACATTTATTTCCTTCTACACGCGATGAACTACAACCACCATAATAACTATAATTACTAGATGATGTTTGTGATAACGAACGCCTATTTTTATAGAATTCGTCTTCAAAAGGTAATCCATTTGGAAATTTACTTGAAAAAGTTTTCGGTGTTTTGTTACAGTCAATACTAATGGACGAATTTTTGTTTGTTGATGATATCAAAGATGAAACACCATTATTTAAAGATGAAGAATTCAACAACGTTCTACGTTTTTCATAATGAGGTGAAGTTGGAGATCCTAAATTTTTGTTATAATTTGCTGCTGAACTCTTTGTAATACTGATACCATTTTGAAGTGATGATGTTGAACAAGAAGAAATTTTGTCATCATCATAATACTTTTTTCGTATAGAACCCCGTAACGAGTTACCTCTACTACTTAATATACCATTATTATTCCAACTTCCACTAGCGGGCTTATTACTATCTTTATCACTATGATTATTCTTGTAAATGACTGATGATCTAAGTGATCCATTTATAAAAGAAAAACGTTGGGAACTTTGTTGAGTATTTGATAAATGAGAATTACCATTTAAATTATTTACGGAAAGCTTTGATAATAGTTGTTTTGTCGTCATTGATTTAGCATTTAAACCACTTGCATTAGGAACATGATTTTCTTTTGATAACTTTGTGTTTTTATAAGCACGTTTTTGTGATATTCCATTTCCACCAGTAACTTCATTCGAAATAGAATTAGAATTTTTGCTAATATTGCCATTTTTTATTGAAGTATTACTATTAGAATTTTCTTTAGAAAAAGTTAAAGAACCATATTTTTGTTGGAATTGTGTCAAATTTACATGTGGTGTAGTATTTGTATTAATTGCAGGTGATTTCGGAGGCCCAATACTAATTCTGTTATTACTATGAAAAAAGAAGCTTAACAATCATTTGTTTTTTTAAAGTGATCGAAGGCAACTATATTTGTAAATTTGTAATTTCTCTTACCTAAAACTTTTACGAGTACTGCTATTTCTATCAATTATTTTCTTTAAATTTGTTTCCTTAATTGAACCCCTGGAATTTGATTTGTAAATTCCATTTAAATTTGTTTGTTGAGTATTGGTATTTGCTTGACTTTTCACATAATGTTTATTAACACAAACTGCAGCAGGAGAAGTTGCCACAATTCCGTTATTATTGGTACAAGAATTGGTTTCACTACTGTATTGTTGCAAGTGTTGTCGGTATGGTGAGGTTTCTAGTTTTTTACCAGGAATGTTTCTAATATTTTCTACGGTAGACTCAATTCTTCGGCATAATTTTGGTGTTAGCGGTTTGATTTGTTGGGGCTCATAATTTAGCTTTAAATGACTTGGTGATTGTTGTTTACCATTAGGATGGCAATATTGTTTATTTTCAATATTACGAGTAAATTTATTGTTGCGAACACCTATTGCTGAACTTTTAGTTGACTTTGTGCCATAAAGACTACTTCGATAGGGCTGTAATCTAGAGTTTTGAAAACCCTCTAATATTGACGGCATTGTAGTGGCTGATGAGGATGTTTGTAGTTTGAAATGATGGATATTTGGGTCTTGGTACATATTCTTATTAGTATTTAAGGAGTTATGTGATATTTTATCTCTGAATGAACGAAATGCTCCAGATGCTATATCTTGAACTGGCATTTTACAATTACTTTATGAATTTCTTATTATTTAAATTGGATAATAAAAAATGCAAAGTGTTCATAAGCTGACTGTTTAAAATAGAACATCACTATTACAACTAGCGCAAATCAATATTATCCTTTTAGAAGTTTTTTGATAATATTTTTTTAAATAACAAAAAAAAAATATATCACAAAATTGAGTTTTAAATTTTTCTAATTAATTCTAAATATTAATTTTTTATCACAAAAATTATTAGATTTTTTTTTGCTAAATAAATTTGATTAGTCTCTTATTTTATGAACAAAAATATCTTTAAAAATATTAAAAATTTTTAAAATTAATTTTCAATTACAATTTTGCAAATTAATTTTCAATTATGGAAAAGGAAAGTATTTACTATTAAAATTCGTGTGCGTACTCTATGCTTTGTGTAAATTTCTTTGGTTTTTATTATGTTTCATAAATTTTTCTCTTTTGTTGTGATTCTGTTTGCCTTTTTAATTACTTGAACTTTTTTAATCATTAATTTCGTTGTAATTTTCAGAATTTATTATATATTAAAGTACTTCGAATTTTGTACAATAACTAAAATTTAAAATTAAATTTTAAATGTACTCGTACATTAAGTATCATAGTAATTTACTTTTAAGAAATCTTCAATTTTAACATATTATTGATAACACTAAAATTATAAAACAAAAATTTTGTTGAATCAAACTTTAGTTTATAAATTACCACATTCCACTTTAACGAATTATATTTACAGCTTGTATTTTTATTGTTTAAAATTTTCTTCATTATCATATGAGATTGCATACTTCTAGAAGTGACATTAGAGTAATAATAAATTAAAAAACCAATACGTACCAATAAGAAGCTTGAACTGTATTACTTATGTTAAGGGCGGAAACGGTGCCGTTACATTACTGCTTTTAAAGAAATTCGATAGAATTTAATACGTCGCTATGATCACATGAAATCATAGTTTTTATCCCTTTGTACTGAATGGAAGACAATATATTAAAAAGAAACCCTAATATTAAGAAAAAAATTTTTTTTCAAAATATTGTGAGTAAGGTATTTTTTTTTTATTTTCGATTAATAACGATTCAATAATTTATTCAACAAAAAAACAGACCAAAATATTCTTATTCTTTCAAATTTTAAATTAATGTAAATAAAACCCGGAAGATTGTCTTTCTACTCGCTTTTTCTATATATAAAGATAGAAAAAGCGAGTAGAAAGCTTCTATACTATCAATGTACAGATAAATAACGTTATAAGATATTGCAACATCACAAAAAATTAACACTAAAAGGAATAACATTATTGTCATGCGCAATATAATCCGAATTAATAGTCCATATAATCCGGATCATTCCAAATATTTAAAAAAAAAAACAAATCAATAATTATAGAACAGTAACTTCCTCTAGGCGAATTGGACTTAATTTTTGAAGAAATTACGTTTGACTAACCAGCAGCATGCACCGGATGAAACGATAAAAATTTTATGACTGATGTAAGCTGACTTTTCTGACTCTAAGGCCAAAACCAAGAATCTTTTTGCTATTTTCGTAATATTATTTATCACAGAAATTATAGAACCATTCAAAAGCTCGTACGACATAATGAAATTTATAATAGCAAAAAACTTTTACTTCATGCAGTCTAGCAGGAAAATTATAAAAAAAAGTTTATATTTTTTTATTATAACACTACAATAACATACACAAAAATATATTTCACAATATTCCATCTTTTCTAGAAACAGAAAATTCCTATTAAACTCTATTTTTCAAAAATTTATGAAAATTTTTTAGAGATTCCGAAGATTTAGCTGAACGCAATTGAAGGTGTCAAGAAAGTAAATACACGTCTTGTAAACTATTTTGATCATACAAATAGTTTTCACAATTGTTATAAATTAGATAGAAGTACATATAAATCTACGAGAAATACTAATACACACATAAATAAGTTGGAACAGTGTGCAATTGTTATGCTTACACGAATCGACCGGTTTTTTATCTTTATGAACCAATAGTAATAACAGTTTAATATTAGAAAACCGGATAATGTTGATAACTAATTAGAGAAAACACAAAAATTTCAAGAAAAACAAAAATCAAACATGTTGGGAAACATGTGTAAAGTAACTACAGCCTTTTGCCATTTGAAAATGAAAAAGAAAAATTAAACTTTAAGCGTACTAGCTGTAAGAGGGAAATAAACTTGAAAAAAAACAATCACACTTATAAAGAAAGCATAAAAATGATGTATAGTTATTTATTAAACTATACATAACATTAATATGTGTGAATATATGCAAAAGTGTTACTTTAGAACACGAAAAATTACATGACTTTCACCGCGACATTTATGATGTAAATAAAAAACAACAGTGTACATTATTACAATAACAACCTACTCAACACAATTTCTTTCTTTTCTTTGTTTTTATTATAAGTATGTACAATTTATTTTATATGTACATAAGCGTATACATACAAATTTTTCGATACAAATCATGGAGAACAAAATAAAGGTGAATTTAAAGATATATGTATGTATGTAAATTTACGAGCGTACAAACTTTGTTCTTGCTTAAAATTAACTGTCTTCCAAGTTGATCATTACCATATGTTGACTGAAATTTGAAACATTTTTAAACAAAATTCACACGAATGTCTTGTCCTACGTCATCAAGCTGCCTATCTTGAAATTTGTTCAAAAGATTGTTTACTCTTAGAATTAAAATTTAATTCTTAATTGACCGATAATATTTTGTTATACGAAGGGCTTAGTTTTTACAAAAAAATGTAAAGTTGAGTCAAACCAATAGTTTGTAATGTACCACTTCTCCCTTCAGCAAGTTAAAATAGTGCTTTTAAAAACAGTCTATGTAACTACTTCATTATTAAAATTACTCTCTTTGATTTTGGAAGTGAATTTTTAACCTGGTTATAAAATAACACGAAGTAATTTGGATTTCATAAGAACTTCGAATGCAACTATAAAAATGAATAAATAGTATATTAGTTAGTAGTAAGCAGCACGAATTTTACACTGAAATGGCATACATTTTAAATATTAATATTCATTCAATTTATTGTTTTAGCTTTTGAAGTCGATTCTTAAACTCGATTAAACATAACCTTCCCTAAAAATATATATTTAATAAGCATTTAAAATACGTTAATGTATTTTCAATTATTTTATTTTTACTTTCAGTTTAAATTAAAAACGTCAATATTTTATGTGCTTTAAGAAAAGTAAAAGCGGAATGCAGCCATTTACTTGAAGCTCTTCAGTGCACAGAATAATAGTCCCCAGATGTTAATGAACCTTAGTTTGTTACAATAGTAAAATGTATAATACTTCTGGTGTAATTGAATCTCACTTCACTTTAATTCATTTTTATTTGTTTTTCTTACTTGGAATGGATAAAAGTCACTTTAGCATAATAAACATGCATACACTCATAAATGTATGAACAATAACTTTCTATATATATTCATAAAACACATACATAATACGTATGGATAGATGCTTTATCATTAGCAGCAACGGAATAGAAAAAAAAAGAGTAAAAACAAAAATTTTTTAACTGGTCATTTGTCCATGAAAATTTCCCTTAGCTTACAGATATTTATTCACTCATATCAACGACAAATAATTATTTTTTTGGATATCTATATCCAATGTTCATTCAAGAAAGAGTGGTTCAAGTTGAATAATATTTTACGTATGTATTTGTTATACGTATTATAGCAAATGCATACATACAATAAATTAAAAAACTTATAATGCTGATAAATTTAAACTTATATTTTGTTTAAGATTAGTTATCAAAACAAGATTTAATTTTTGAGTCAATGATGAAGATGAAAAGGACAAATTTAAAACAACAGGGGAAGAAACAAAAGACACCCTTCATACACCAGTTTCTATCAATGGTTACCCGTAGAAATATTAATTTTCCTCGCAACTGAATAACTAGTAATTTGGTAACTGCATTTTTTAAGTAACTTATATTTATATTTTATTTATTTATTTATATTTTTAATTAATTTTGATAATCTAATATTTAAATAGTTTATAGTCGTGCGAGCTTTGTTTCAAAATTATATTATTATAAATTTATTATACAGTAACGTATAACTCAGTACAACAAAAAAAATTTTGGACATCTCCAAGCAATCACAACCTAGTTGAAGTTGGGTAAATTCTAACGACTGTTCTCTCTCAGCTCCTGCATGATGAAACTTTTCGTTTTCCCAATGTTCTTTGTAATTGACATTATTTATAAATTTTCACTATTAAATATATTATATAATATAATGTACACACATGTATTAATATACTGATGAAATTTCATGTAACTACTGATGAAACTTCATTAGGTCTAACTTTAATCATTATTTTTAATTTTGCTTATATAAGAAGCCATTGAACACACAATAAACAAACTCATTATTTTCATACACTACTGATGGCTTAAGTTCAATAATCATAGCTACAAAAAATTACACTCATCCGTAGCTTTACGAAACTGATATGTTTCGGAAATGTTGCCCGTAAATCGTAATTCGCCGTAATTCTTATCTTTTTACATACATTACGTTACAGCCACATAATTTTTTACCTAAACTTACATACATATATAGCTACATATTTCTTGTTCATTTGCAAAAAGTATAATAGGATTTTATTATAATTACAATATTATTACACAACAAGAATAATTTTTGCATTTTAAAAATTTTCCGTAAATCAAACTTTTTTACCGTAAAAAGAAACTTTGGTTTAATTTTTGAATTCCGTGAAACCGAAATTCCGTATATCGAGCTTCCGTTAAGCGAACGATGAGTGTATTTTTTTTATGTTTCCCAATTGAATACAAGCTGTAAACCTTCATTTTAAAATAGAAATGTGCATTTTGAAACGGGTTAAGTTGCAATTCGAGTTGAAAATTATGATATTTAGGGCAAATCGAAAGTGTTGAAAGAGT